AGAAAACGAAGGCAGAATAGTCGCAGGGTGCAACATAAGTGTATTTTTCCTCTGCTTTTCAAACTAAAAAAAGAGAAAAAAAACGTAAGCTTGACTTTCTACTTTGCGCAGGGGGCCTTATTATGCCACCAAAGATAAGCTAATTTTAAATAATCTTAGGCTTGTACAGCGTTTGAAAGATGCACTAGCATGATTGTTATTGTTTCTTTACAAAAACATGTAGAGAAGAAAGTTCTCCATGAAACGGATTGAACAACGAAAAGTGCCAGATATCTTCAAGAAATTCATAAATAAGATATCGGCCACTTTTGCTTTTTCTGAAAAACACTTATGAACTGCATATTTTTCCCATATTCTCAAAAATACATCGTCTAAGTCGGGATATTTATCGCGTCAAAAAAGCTCGCTCCAGGTTTAAAACAAATTTTAAAAAAAATATTCTCGCTTTATGTTTAAACTGTTTTTAGGTTAAAGCCTGCAAACTCTTTTCGGCTCATGTATATAATCTGTCAGGCTTGAGCCGGGGTCAGGCTTATATTTTAAAAAAATTTTCGGGCTCGGGCCGGGGTCAAGCTTCTGTCTGAAAAATTCTGCCGTGCCCGGGTCGGGCCCGGGCAGCGTCTTTCCGGGCCGGGTCGGACCGGGCCTAGAAATTAAAGATTCTGTCGGGCTCGGGCCGGGTTTGGGCCGTGTCTCTACCGGGCCGGTCGGGCCGGGCCAAGAAATTCCGTTCCGTGCAGTGCTCTAGCGCCACCCTCTCTTTGGTTAGTCGTTTTTCGCGGTCAAAGACAACGCCGGCAGTGCTCCATAAGACGGGGGCAGCTTCGCAATGCCTCCGCTAAATGACGCGAGCCGCGGTGTTGTATTTTAGGTTTTTATCGGAGCTATACACTGATATCTGGGACTAACAGTATTGAAAAATAGTTAATTGCGTTTTTTACAGCGATCGCAATACAAATCTCAACTCAGTTCTGCGTAAAATACTCAGGATTGGGAACGGCCACCTGTCTAGTGGCCAAATTGTACAACATGGCGGCAGCCAGCACTAATTGGCACGAGCTGTCTCGTGCACGGCCGCCCGCTTCTTATGAACTACATTTATGGCATCGCCACGTATGCGGGGAGCACTTACCGCTCATTCACACCGGAAGCGGATCCGCGTTCGCAAAGCGGTTGCGAACGCGGTTTTATAAAGATCCAGTGCAATTGCACGCGCACGCGAGGACATCAAGTGCGCGTGCAATTGTACTGGATCTTCATACAACCGCGTTCGCAACCGCTTTGCGAACGCGGATCCGCTTTCATTGTCAATGAGGGGTTAGTGAGATCGGTCTATTGTTTACAAAAGAAATAAAAAAGACATATGTGACAATGGTGTTTTTCTGTCTTTTATTAGCGGCGAGATGTTATAGTGGCGCCCTCCTACGGTTCCCCCTTGTGACTTCATTACCTTGCAAACAAGAAGTTCGACGGTGTTTGTAAATAGCACGGTGGAACCTTGAAATCATTGCGCTCTCAAAGGAACACTGCCAACACCGTCAAAATTAAAGTTCTTCCATTCCTCTTATTTCGTCAATGATAAACCCTTTCCGACGTCATAGTTAGCGTTCGGCCAATCGTGGAAGGCTGATCACAGCGACGCTTTTGATCGCTGATGTCGCCAATAATAGGCCCTGTCAAAAGTAGTGATTCAAATGACTTTTTTTTTTAATGTTTGCAAGCTAAAGACGTGTGAAATTTACGGTGTTCTTCGCTCCACACTCATTTCTCTTTTCGTTTCAGTTTCCGATGGTGTCAAGAAACTACCACTCTGCACCAGGTGCTTAGTTCAGTAAAACTCTTAATAAAATTCACCACATTTAATCGTAATGCACTGTCTGGGGCGTGCCGAAGCCTAACGATCGAAGGATTTACATGAGACTCTCAAACAAGTCCTTAGTTAAAAAGTCATTTGTATGAGAAATTTCTTGTGTCCAATGAACACATATGAATCATAACAGATATAAAAAAATATAAGTACCTTATAAAAACTATGCAAGAACTACTATATATTATATATAGGAACATATAATAACCCTATAAGGAATCTTGTGATGAGTTTCTTATATGGTTCTTATAATATTATATATATTTTATGGTTGATATATGTTTATTGGACACAAATATTTCTCATATAAATGAATTTTTTAAATAGGGGTACTTCATATAAGCTCTGAAGTCTCGCCGTCGTGACATTGAACAACAGCTATGCTCCGTTCAACCTTAAATTGGACGGCAGCGGGTGCTACGCGACAGCGCAGCTACTCCAGCGCGGAGAACATTGCACGTGATCTTCTGTATATGCCCGGCGGCGCGTGGAGCGCGAGGTCATGTGACACGCTGGCAGCTCTTAATTGGCTGAGAGAGTTCGTAGCGTCGCCTGAGGTCCAATATAATGTGAAATGGAGTGTAACTAACGTCTGGAATATTGACTCCCTATCGGTGCGCGTGCTCGAATTGTTTCATCACCAGGCATCAAAACGCCGCCATCAGCATGTACAGAATATATACACTTAGTTGATGATAGTTATCAAAGTGGCCAGACTGAATCTCGGAAAGTGTTCATTAATGATCTTACAGATGCTAGAATGTAATTTTAATAAATTATTGTTTTGTGTTTTGAGTGGTTTTTGCAGGCATTGAGGCTAAAGTTCTGGATTTACCCTTTTTTCGCCAGAAGTAGGTGTTTTCCTCTCACTTGAACTCTAGGGCGATAGTAAACTCGTCGCACAGCAATGCTTTTTTTTCCTACGTCCCGCTCGGGCATTGTAAGTAAAACAAAAAAAAATTTAAAACAAATCAAAAATGGAAAATAAACGTATTAGCAAGATTAGAATCTGTATAGAAACGCGTAATGCTGCGTTCAAGAAAACTCCTAAAACACCTAAACCTCTAAATCAGTGGTCTCCAAATACCGGTCCGCGGGCCGAATCCGGCTCGCGGAGATCTTCCGACCGGCCCGTGGCCAGTGTTGTAGCCGTCACCGAAAAATGAAACTAATTACGTTACTCGTTTCTTGCAAATAAGAGGAACGCGTTACTGACCTACATTATCCTAAAATAAAAAGAACGCGTTACCGTTACCGACAAAAAGTAACGCACGTTAGTTTTGCGTTACCTTTTAAATTATTAATTGCACGCTTTACTGCTTTGACCTTAGAGGTATGCATAAGCGTCATATTTCAAGAAACGTTATGTCCGTGCCGAAATTGAACATGAGTGTATTATTTTATAGCTTCACTTAATTACTCGCAAAGACAACACGAAGAAAGACACCGAAAAACAAAAAAAAAGCCACATGAATAGACCCTTCCCGAAATTCAGTGCCATCTGGTGGCTATAATGGCAGTTTAGCTTTTGCCGTACTAATGGCGGCCATGAAAATGGAGTCTGCCGTATTTTATCGGGTGCCGTCACTTTCGCAAGTTAACGGCAAACGACAGTGTGCGCTTCACTGTACATTTCCATCTCAATCTCTTTCAGTGACGATAGAAACAAAGATGCAACCAGTCAGAGTGAAGCGTCAACCCACGTACACGGCTTGATAAAGTTCTACAAATCAAGGGGCTTTGGATCACCTTGATGCTACCAACAGACTGGCTGGGTCCCGACTCCCGAGCTAGAAATGAACGCTTACGGAGATCTTGCTTTCAATTCCTGCTTCGCATCGTGCTAACGTCACGAATGTATAAGCCTCCAGTTATCTGCTATGGAGCATCTTCAACTTCTTCCTTCATCAGTAAACAGAAGGCCGCCATTATACTCTTTTTCACCCCAACTTGTGCACCGGAGGCTCCACCTCTACAGGCCGCGCATTGGCCAGTCACCGTCGCACCACCACGAAGCGCTCCTCCGCCATTTTTGAATCAAATATAAACAAAAAAGTGTCTACAAAGAAAAAGTTCTATACGAGCGTCGTAATCGTGATAATCCAATCATCTTAAATAGGGCTTATTATGTAGCACGTTTTGAGCTATAATTTTTCATATGTCCAAATTTATTGGTGTGATTCTTTTTAAAATACGAATCGCACGCAGTCGCTGCGTGGTGACTGAGGCCCTACTGACTGCGTTCGTTTGTTCACGGAAGAGTGAGTCGTTCACAAACAGAATTGCTTTCTTAATAAATACAGCACTCCCGACTTGGCTAACATCTTCTCTCAAATAAAACAATTGTACCGTCAAACTGTCCACTTAAACGGCGCAAGACTTGCAGCCTGAGTGTCTATTTCTTTACTTCTGTTGAATTTACGAACGCGTCCGGTTAACTCGGTGACGTCATGTTGTTGTTGTAGTCGGGGAATCGAATGCTCGACGCGCTCGGCCCGATTGCGTTCTTCTTCTGCGTGTTCAGATATTTTTTACAACTTTATCGTTCTGTTTTATTATTCAGCGTATTTCCTTTGTGGATATCGTTGAGGTAGTGTCCATGGCTCCATCTCCACCGCCGTCGAGACGTAAGCCAGCCGCCACGACACCTATAAATTTGTGGAAGAAGCATCGGCAAGGACGCAAGCTCTCGAGCGATTGCAAGCAGATGGTTCTTTCCGTGTACGCCAAGCTGCGAGAACAATACCCGGACAGGTTGAGGAACGACTTATACCAGCTGACGTCTGAGTATACTGGCGTCGGAGCACGGACAGTTGTTGCCATAAAGAAGGAAGCCATCACGAATTCCGGGCTCCTTCGAACTCCAACTGGTAAGCGCCCAAAGTCGGTTGGCACCCGTCGTCGCCTAGTCCAGTACGACTCTTTTGTGCTGTCTGCGTTGCGGTCCTGCGTGCACGGCTTCTTTCGAAGGAACGAAACCCCGACCGTCACGAAGATACGCGAAGCCCTCATTGAAGCGCTGAAGGATGATGAGGTCGCCGTGGAACCGAGTCCATCGACTGTGTACCGTCTTTTGCATGACATTGGGTTCGAGCTGCAGAAGAGGAGTCGCAACTCTCTTCTCATTGAGAAGGACGACATCCTTGTGTGGCGTGCGAAGTACCTCCGCTCAATCCTGAAGTTTCGAGCAGAGGGTAAGGCGATCTATTATCTCGACGAAACGTGGGTCAACGCCGGACACACCATCAACAAGATCTGGGTCGACACGACGGTGCGTTCTGCCAGAGACGCAGGAAATCGCGGCCTCAGCACCGGTCTCAAAAATCCATCTGGCAAAGGCAGCAGACTGATTGTCACTCACGTTGGGGGTGACCAAGGCTTTGTGGAAGGTTGCCTCGACATTTTTCATGGAGTGAAGTCGGGCGATTACCACGACGAGATGGATGGCAACAGGTTTGAACATTGGTTTGACTTGTTCCTGACCAAGGTAGAGCCAGGAAGCGTTATTGTAATGGATAACGCTTCCTACCACTCAAGACGCGTGGAGTGTGTCCCCACGAAATCTTCAACCAAGAGTGTCATCCAAGAATGGCTAAGCTCAAAGGGAATTGACTGGGACAAAGACATGCTCAAGGTGGAACTAATTTCTTTAGTCTCCCAAGTGCGACACAAGTTCCTCAGCTACCGAGTGGACACACGTGCTGAAACTGTTGGGTGCACGGTTCTTAGGCTGCCCCCTTATCATTGTGAGCTGAATCCCATTGAGCTTATCTGGGGGCAAGTGAAGAATGAGGTTGCACGAAGCAACTCGTCTTTCAAACTAAAAGATGTGAAGGTGCTTCTAGAGCAGGCAATCAAGAATGTCACGAAAGACAACTGGACCGCTGCTATACAGCATGTTAAGAAGATGGAAAAGCAGTTCTGGGAGAATGACAGCCTGTCGGACAGAGAGGTTGCACCAATCATCATCGAAATCAATGCCGGAGATGTCAGCGACGACTCCTATGAAGATGAAAGCTGCGATGAAGTTGTCTCTGGATCAGGCCAGCCACACATTCCAGGTGTGGAGCCACTTAATATGTAAGCAGTGTGGCAAAGTATTTCTTCCATTGTGCTCTCCGGGAACTGCTGGAGGCCCACGTGAAGCCTTCTCTGCGTATAAGGCGGCCTGCCTGTGTGGGCTGACTCCCGAGATCTGGTATGCAACCCTGCCTCTCCGAAAACGGCTGCAGCAACACGACGAGGCGACTTCGGAAGCCCACTTGAAGCGTTCTCTGAAAACAAGGCGGCCTGCCTGTATGGGCTGACACTCGACATCTGGTATGCAACCCTGCCTCTCCGAGAACTGCTGCAGCAACACGACGAGGTGGCTTCGGAGGCCCACTTGAAGAGTTCTCCGAAAACAAGGCGGCCTGCCTGTGTTGGCTGACTCTCGACATCTGGTATGCAACCCTGCCTCTCCGAGAACGGCTGCAGCAACACGACGAGGCGGCTTCGGAGGCCCACTTGAAGAGTTCTCTGAAAGCAAGGCGGCCTGCCTGTGTGGGCTGACTCTCAACATCTGGTATGCAACCCTGCCTCTCCGAGAACTGCTGCAGCAACACGACAAGGCGGCTTCGGAGGCCCACTTGAAGAGTTCTCCGAAAACAAGGCGGCCTGCCTGTGTTGGCTGACTCTCGACATCTGGTATGCAACCCTGCCTCTCCGAGAACTGCTGCAGCAACACGACGAGGCGGCTTCGGAGGCCCACCTGAAGAGTTCTCTGAAAGCAAGGCGGCCTGCCTGTGTGGGCTGACTCTCGACATCTGGTATGCAACCCTGCCTCTCCGAGAGCGGCTGCAGCAACACGACGAGGCGGTTTCGGAAGCCTACGTGAAGCCTTCTCTGAAAGCAAGGCGGCCTGCCTGTGTGGGCTGACTCTCGACACCTGGTATGCAACCCTGCCTCTCCGAGAACTGCTGCAGCAACACGACGAGGCGGCTTCGGAGGCCCACTTGAAGCGTTCTCTGAAAACAAGGCGGCCTGCCTGTGTTGGCTGACTCTCGACATCTGGTATGCAACCCTGCCTCTCCGAGAGCGGCTGCAGCAACACGACGAGGCGGCTTCGGAAGCCTACGTGAAGCCTTCTCTGAAAGCAAGGCGGCCTGCCTGTGTGGGCTGACTCTCGACATCTGGTATGCAACCCTGCCTCTCCGAGAGCGGCTGCAGCAACACGACGAGGCGGCTTCGGAGGCCCACTTGAAGAGTTCTCCGAAAACAAGGCGGCCTGCCTGTGTTGGCTGACTCTCGACATCTGGTATGCAACCCTGCCTCTCCGAGAACTGCTGCAGCAACACGACGAGGCGGCTTCGGAGGCCCACCTGAAGAGTTCTCTGAAAGCAAGGCGGCCTGCCTGTGTGGGCTGACTCTCGACATCTGGTATGCAACCCTGCCTCTCCGAGAGCGGCTGCAGCAACACGACGAGGCAGCTTCGGAAGCCTACGTGAAGCCTTCTCTGAAAGCAAGGCGGCCTGCCTGTGTGGGCTGACTCTCGACATCTGGTATGCAACCCTGCCTCTCCGAGAGCGGCTGCAGCAACACGACGAGGCGGCTTTGGAAGCCTACGTGAAACCTTCTCTGAAAGCAAGGCGGCCTGCCTGTGTGGGCTGACTCTCGACATCTGGTATGCAACCCTGCCTCTCCGAGAACGGCTGCAGCAACACGACGAGGCTGCTTCGGAAGCCTATGTGAAGCCTTCTCTGAAAGCAAGGCGGCCTGTCTGTGTGGGCTGACTCTCGACATCTGGTATGCAACCCTGCCTCTCCGAGAGCGGCTGCAGCAACACGACGAGGCGGCTTCGGAAGCCTACGTGAAGCCTTCTCTGAAAGCAAGGCGGCCTGCCTGTGTGGGCTGACTCTCGACATCTGGTATGCAACCCTGCCTCCGAGAACGGCTGCAGCAACACGACGAGGCGGCTTCGGAAGCCTACGTGAAGCCTTCTCTGAAAGCAAGGCGGCCTGCCTGTGTGGGCTGACTCTCGACATCTGGTATGCAACCCTGCTTCTCCGAGAACGGCTGCAGCAACACGACGAGGCGGCTTCGGAAGCCTATGTGAAGCCTTCTCTGAAAGCAAGGCGGCCTGCCTGTGTGGGCTGACTCTCGACATCTGGTATGCAACCCTGCTTCTCCGAGAGCGGCTGCAGCAACACGACGAGGCGGCTTCAGAAGCCTACGTGAAGCCTTCTCTGAAAGCAAGGCGGCCTGCCTGTGTGGGCTGACTCTCGACATCTGGTATGCAACCCTGCCTCTCCGAGAGCGGCTGCAGCAACACGACGAGGCGGCTTCGGAGGCCCACTTGAAGAGTTCTCCGAAAACAAGGCAGCCTGCCTGTGTTGGCTGACTCTCGACATCTGGTATGCAACCCTGCCTCTCCGAGAACTGCTGCAGCAACACGACGAGGCGGCTTCGGAGGCCCACCTGAAGAGTTCTCTGAAAGCAAGGCGGCCTGCCTGTGTGGGCTGACTCTCGACATCTGGTATGCAACCCTGCCTCTCCGAGAGCGGCTGCAGCAACACGACGAAGCTGCTTCGGAAGCCTACGTGAAGCCTTCTCTGAAAGCAAGGCGGCCTGCCTGTGTGGGCTGACTCTCGACATCTGGTATGCAACCCTGCCTCTCCGAGAACGGCTGCAGCAACACGACGAGGCGGCTTCGGAAGCCTACGTGAAGCCTTCTCTGAAAGCAAGGCGGCCTGCCTGTGTGGGCTGACTCTCGACATCTGGTATGCAACCCTGCTTCTCCGAGAACGGCTGCAGCAACACGACGAGGCGGCTTCGGAAGCCTATGTTAAGCCTTCTCTGAAAGCAAGGCGGCCTGCCTGTGTGGGCTGACTCTCGACATCTGGTATGCAACCCTGCTTCTCCGAGAGCGGCTGCAGCAACACGACGAGGCGGCTTCGGAAGCCTACGTGAAGCCTTCTCTGAAAGCAAGGCGGCCTGCCTGTGTGGGCTGACTCTCGACATCTGGTATGCAACCCTGCCTCTCCGAGAGCGGCTGCAGCAACACGACGAGGCGGCTTCGGAGGCCCACTTGAAGAGTTCTCCGAAAACAAGGCGGCCTGCCTGTGTTGGCTGACTCTCGACATCTGGTATGCAACCCTGCCTCTCCGAGAACTGCTGCAGCAACACGACGAGGCAGCTTCGGAAGTTTACGTGAAGCCTTCTCTGAAAGCAAGGCGGCCTGCCTGTGTGGGCTGACTCTCGACATCTGGTATGCAACCCTGCCTCTCCGAGAGCGGCTGCAGCAACACGACGAGGCGGCTTCGGAAGCCTACGTGAAGCCTTCTCTGAAAGCAAGGCGGCCTGCCTGTGTGGGCTGACTCTCGACATCTGGTATGCAACCCTGCTTCTCCGAGAACGGCTGTAGCAACACGACGAGGCGGCTTCGGAAGCCTATGTGAAGCCTTCTCTGAAAGCAAGGCGGCCTGCCTGTGTGGGCTGACTCTCGACATCTGGTATGCAACCCTGCTTCTCCGAGAGCGGCTGCAGCAACACGACGAGGCGGCTTCGGAAGCCTACGTGAAGCCTTCTCTGAAAGCAAGGCGGCCTGCCTGTGTGGGCTGACTCTCGACATCTGGTATGCAACCCTGCCTCTCCGAGAACGGCTGCAGCAACACGACGAGGCGGCTTCGGAGGCCCACTTGAAGAGTTCTCCAAAAACAAGGCGGCCTGCCTGTGTGGGCTGACTCTCGACATCTGTATGCAACCCTGCCTCTCCGAGAACGGCTGCAGCAACACGACGAGACGGCTTCGGAAGCCTACGTGAAGCCTTCTCTGAAAGCAAGGCAGCCTGCCTGTGTGGGCTGACTCTCGACATCCGGTATGCAACCCTGCCTCTCCGAGAGCGGCTGCAGCAACACGACGAGGCGGCTTCGGAAGCCTACGTGAAGCCTTCTCTGAAAGCAAGGCGGCCTGCCTGTGTGGGCTGACTCTCGACATCTGGTATGCAACCCTGCTTCTCCGAGAACGGCTGCAGCAACACGACGAGGCGGCTTCGGAAGCCTATGTGAAGCCTTCTCTGAAAGCAAGGCGGCCTGTCTGTGTGGGCTGACTCTCGACATCTGTATGCAACCCTGCCTCTCCGAGAACGGCTGCAGCAACACGACGAGACGGCTTCGGAAGCCTACGTGAAGCCTTCTCTGAAAGCAAGGCGGCCTGTCTGTGTGGGCTGACTCTCGACATCTGGTGTGCAACCCTGCCTCTCCGAGAACGGCTGCAGCAACACGACGAGGCAGCTTCGGAGGCCCACTTGAAGAGTTCTCCAAAAACAAGGCGGCCTGCCTGTGTGGGCTGACTCTCGACATCTGTATGCAACCCTGCCTCTCCGAGAACGGCTGCAGCAACACGACGAGACGGCTTCGGAAGCCTACGTGAAGCCTTCTCTGAAAGCAAGGCGGCCTGTCTGTGTGGGCTGACTCCCGACATCTGGTATGCAACCCTGCCTCTCCGAGAACGGCTGCAGCAACACGACGAGGCGGCTTCGGAAGCCTACGTGAAGCCTTCTCTGAAAGCAAGGCGGCCTTGTCTGTGTGGGCTGACTCCCGACATCTGGTATGCAACCCTGCCTCTCCGAGAACGGCTGCAGCAACACGACGAGGCGGCTTCGGAAGCCTATGTGAAGCGTTCTCTGAAAACAAGGCGGCCTGCCTGTGTGGACTAACTCTCGTCATCTTGATTGAAGCCCTACCACTTCGAGAACTGTTGCAGCAACACGACGAGTCGGCTCCGTTATGTTGCACAGAAATATTAAACACCGAGCCATGTTCAAGACGTCGTTCCATTCCCTTCTCGTCTCCCAGGCTAATATTGTGGGATTTAGCATGTCTTCAGCTTACACCGGCTTGTGTGCACGCATCTGCTAGTTCCTCTTAGATTGAATCTTTATTTAGGCAACAACATACAAACAGTCGTTGCCCAAGAGCTGACACAAAAGGCAAACAGAATTGCCTCACGAGGCGCCGCCCCCCCTCCCCCTCCCAATCACAAACATCATACACACTTGTCGTACACAATATAACAGCATAATAAGGGTACAGCAAAGGTTACAGA